CGGTGCCAAGAGCTGCAGGAGGGAGGAGGGTAAAGAAAGGAGGAAGTGAGGGCTGTGAAATGGATGGGCTCACTTTCCCAAACAACCCATCCATGGGGTCACAGACTTAGGCAAGGAGCAGACAGAGGGAGAGAGGAGCCCAACGCTGCCTCTTCCCAGAGTTTGCCCCTTAGCCTCCACAAGGCCTCCTCCCTCTGACCAGCTTTAGCACTTCTCCATTGCAGTCGATCAACCTCCTCAAGCATTCGAGAGACCTCCCAACCTTTTTTTCCTTTCTGGTTCAGGCCTTCAATGTCTCTTGTCTGACTCTTGTAATAACCTTCTAACTCAGCCTCCTACCTCATTTTCTCCCGACTTCCACCACCACCTTTACCCCATATCACCTTCTGGATCCCAGGGCTACTCTCCAATGCACATAGGAAACGCCAGACTCTTCCGCATGATATCCACAGTGTGTCCTCGCCAGCTCTTTCAGCACTGTTGCCCACCCTTTCTCTGCATCATGCTCTATGTTCTCGGCAAACTCCAGCCGGTCTTCAGACATCCCCACCACTACAGCCTCTGGACGTTTTGTCATGTCGTTTCAATAACTACCTGGATTGCTGTTCTCCTGTGCGTGTCCCTATTTATCCCTCGAAGTCTAGTTCAAATGCAACCTCTTCCGTGACATGAAGCTTTCTCTAATCTCCCACTCGGAGTTTATTTCTCCCTCTCAGAGCACTGAACCTGGGCTGACTCCTCTATTTCTGCCCCAGAGGTTTGCATACATGTACTGCTTGAGAACATAAGCTCTGCAATCAGACTGGCTGGGTTTGAATCCTGGCTCCTCCGCTTACCAGCTCTATGACTTTGGCCAAGTGACTTAACCTTCCCATGTTTTTATTGACTCATTCACGAAATGAGAATAACGAAAGTACAACTTCTTAGAGTTGTTTTGGCAATTAAATGACATCATAAATTATACGTCTGGCATATCAATGTTAATATCAATTTATGTTATTATATCTCCTATTAAACTGTGAGTTTCCTGAAGACAGGATCTGTGTCTGTTTATGTTTGTAACGATAATGCCAGTTGCCAGTAAATGCCTTAAACGCAGTAAACTCAATAAACATGTTCTATGTATGAATAACACACAAAACCATCTGATCAATCCATCATCAACAGTTTATCGAGTGCTTATGACACATCAGACAGTGCGCTATGTGTGAAAGACATATAGTTGGAGAGACACTTAAATTGTCATTTAATCTTTACAGTAGCTGTGTACAGTAGGTATTTTAAAAGCCCCATTTTAGAGATGAGAAAACCAAGGCACAGAGAGGTTAAGTAATAGGTGAAGGTCACACAGAGCCAGTGTTTGAGCTGAAGTTGGCCTCACTCCAAATCTTACACTCCACATTCTTCCCATTGACCACACTGTCAACTAGTCACATAGTCACCTTTCCCCAGTGTTAAACATCAAGGAAGATGCATTATAAGATCTTTTGCAAAAGTTTTTTTCTGTCTTAGGAAATTTGCCCTTTTGCCCCCAAATCTGAAGGCTGTTCCTACTGTAACTTCTCCACCTCCTACTTTTCTTCTCCTTATTTTGCCTGTAGGCCCTGGTCCTTGCCTATTTGCCAGAACCCCCTGAACTCGTGGCCACTAAAAGCTAGGGAACTGCTTCCCCTTGCTTCAGCTGGGACAGACATTCCCAGAGATGGCCTCCTGCAACCTCTCCCTCCTCCAGGAAGCCTTCCCAGCCTGGCTGTACTTCATGAGCTCCGATCATGCAGCCTTTACACGTTCTATTTGTTCTACACTGGTCTGAACTCTTGAGGGATGCCCTGTGAGCATCTTATATCTGCCTCCTCCGTGTGCCTGTGCCTACCCCATTTACTGGCAACCCACAAGGGAGCCGTGTGTATGGAACAGCTGGTCCCAAGGCCTGTGTTCAGGCAGGGCCCCTCTTTGGCGGCTGGAGGGAGAAAAGAGATGTGTTCCCTGCTGAGCTGTTGCAGCCCCAACCCCTCATTCTAATGAAGAAGTGTGTCAGCTGTTGCTACTTCTCCTGCCACGTTTCATCCCTGAAACCCTATCCCCTTCCCCTTCTAGGCAGAAGAAAAAGGCCAGCTCTCTAGTTATCAGCTAATTGAGCCAGGATCCCCAACCCTCCGCCTTCTTCCAGTGTTCACGTGTTACAATGAAATTTTCTGCTTCAGGGAATTGGGAAGTTCCACTACTTGGGTTTTCAGGAACACACTCTTCTTGTCTAGATTTTTTGGGCCAAGGACAGGGGTAGGATGCAGGAGGGGAGCATAAAACACCCTTGACAATGACAATTTCACAACCTGTTAATGTTTTCTTTTCCAGCAGGTTTATCCCACAGTGTCTGCAGAATGTTTGATTCTTGAAAGAAACTTACTGAAATAAATGAATATAGAACTTGACCAGTATTATATGAGGCCATCCCTGTGTGCACAACAACGTAGGGCAGGGCCAGGCAACACAATGCCCCCCAGGGTGGTAAGGGAGATCCTGCCTGGGATGGATTATCTGCAGTGCAAAAGCACCCCTCCCCCCCATCACAGAGACCAACTGTATTCCTTTCCCACCCGATTGCAGACCTAGGGTATAAAGTCAACACTCTTTTATCCCAGCCGCAAGTAAACTGCATTGAATTCAATCCCTACTGTCCCGGGCAAGGCAGCCGAAGCGCTGACCCTGGGCTAACTCAACTCTACTTTCTTCCCCTTTGCTACTGTTGGGATACTAAAGCACTGAGATTTGGCCTGGCTACCTAAGCACTGAACTGAGGTGTCTGGGTGTGAGTGAGCCTCTACCAGCTCTGTCTGTTCCTCTGCTCTGTCTCATGTCTGAGCAGGCTGGCACTGGGGAGGGGGCGGAGCATCATGGGGGGTAGTGCAGAGCTCTCCCATCTGAGTGTCATTCTGGGACCCAGGCCAGGCATTTGGCTTCCTCTCCAAGAGAGTCAAAGGCTGAAGCTGCTCAGACAAAGGGCCAAATAAAAGCTAATGGGGCACTGAGTGACTTCAGCCTCTCCCTTTCCTCCTCCCAGGCACTGGGGTCTCAAGTCCCTGGCAGGAGAGGGTGTAAATCAAGATGTGAAGCTCAGCTCAGTGCAGATTCCTATCTGCCTTTTTTATTCTCCTGGCATCCATAGTCTCTGTCTTCCTCCCCTCACCACCTCCCACCTAGAGTGCTGTAAAAAATGCAAATCAGTAGGATTTAAAAATTCGAGCCCATGCCAGGAACACCCACAAACCCTCCATTAAGGCAGATTCTGAGGTGAGTGGTGTGGTCCCCAGTTTGAAGCACAAGGAGGAGGATTCTATTAGATTCTTTTTCTCAGAATGGGTCTTGGACCTCAGACATTATCTGTGGTGACCTTAACCTTTCTGGTACTGCACACATAAAAGAAAAAAAATGAGAATTGTGCACGCGTGGGCTGGGGCCAGCCATCCCAAGCTGGCATGAGAAGCAGGTGAAAACGACTATGGGAAGGGGCATGGTGTGAGTCCAGAAGAGCAATGAATACTGTTGTCTCTCAAGAAGTGTTTCTCTGAGTCAGTAGCTTTTGCATCTGAGTGTCACCACAGAAAGGGCTCCAGGAGGAAGGACTAGAGAAATGATCGTTGACATGAGCAGGCAGACCCTGGAGTAGGATCGACAGGAGGAGTGGCAGGGCGACTTGGTCAGGAAGCATCAATGAGAACACCTGCAGTTTCGAACTCTGTCCCCCACCCCCAGAGCTGGCCCCTAATACACTGCCAAGTTCCTTCCAAAGCAGGAAGAGTGTAGCCTTTGCAGGCAGGAGTGGGAAAGGCTGTCACAGAATCCGGAGAGCCATGAGCTGGCCCTTTCTAGATCCAGGTCTGCTGTTGTGTGGCCTGGCTGCCCCTGGCTCTGGAAAGTAAGAAGAAAGAGGAGACGAGAAAAGTGAGACTGCGAAGTCGACTCCAAGAGAGACAAACTAAAAGAGACAAAAGGGGACGAAGGCAAAGACACAACAGAGAGGCTGGTGGAAGGAGAGATGGGCAAAGCAGAGATGGGGGTGTATGTGCATAATATCTGCCTGAATTCCGGCGGGTGAAAAAATAAGAAAGGTGGCAGGTGGCGTGGGGGCGGGAGCAGTGGTATATGAAGCCAGTGAGAATCAACTTGGCTCTCCCTAACACAGCTTTAGCGGACACCACTCCCCCCAGTTCGGTGATTTACCCCTCCAGGCTGGGCTACTTCTCCCACTCCCTGCACCCCGGGGCCTCCGAACGCTCCCTGTGCACTCCCCAAGCCCAGAGCTGACATCTGGCTGGGCCTCTGCAGCTCCCGCTCGCGACCTGCCAGGCAGAGCCCCTCCTCCAGCGCAGGGCCCTCCCCCGTGTTTCCAGCTGCCAGCCCCCTCCCTGCTGGCAGACAAGCCCGGGCAGACAGCCGGCCAAGCCTGCCCCCGCAGCCGCGACAGCTCTGCCAAGCCCGGCAGAGCTGGGGGCCCAGAGCGGTACTGGCTCCCTTCGAGCGAGCGGTCCCGCTGACCTCTTGCCCGGGCAGGGATCAGGCCCCAGCACCCTCCTCCCCCTCGCGCCGCGCCCGCCGGCAGGGCTCCGGGCCGCCCCGCGCAGCCCTGCACCCAGGCGCTCGCGTCCCGCTCCCTAGGCCTTCGCTCCCGCGCTTTCCGCGTCGGCGGCGCCAAAGTCCCGCTCCGTCCGTGCGCCGGGCCGTCTCTGGGCGTGCCCTGTGTTCTCCCTGGGGTTCTCTGTGTCACATTTCGGCCTGGTTGACTTGCTCCCTCCGTCTCTCTGTCACTTGTTCTTGTCTCATCACAAATCTTTGCTCAAAGTTTCTTCGTGACCCCTTTCCTGAGGACAAACCCTGCCCTCTGCCTGCCGGCCCGCGCCCTCTCCTATTCTCTAGCCCTCCTCACGTCCCGGCTCCCCGGGGGCCAGGTGCCCGTCGGGGCGGAGCAGCCCTCCCTGCCCCGGCGCTAGCTTCGCTCTTACCAGCTCCTGTTTGAGGCGACGCAAATAGCAGTCCATTTCCCTGCTCTCCATCGTCATGCGCCCATTCGTCGGGCTCGGTTCAAAGAGACAGTGCCCGGGTGGGACCCCGGCCCCACTGGAAACTGCGCGCCGGGTCAGCTCCCGGTCCCTGCGCTCGCACCTCTAGCCGCACGGAGCTGAGTCTGCGCTGCGAGCCCGCGACTTAGAGCCGCTTCCCCCGCGGCTGGCCGCGCGCGGTCGGTGCTGGGGGCGGAGGGAAAAGTGGGACAGCCAATGAGAATTCAGGGGGGCTGTCTTCAGCCAATGAGCAGGGCGCCCGGGGGGCCGGGCTGGGCAGCTGCTGCGGACCCCACCGCGGTGTTTGCACCGGACCCGGGCGCAGCTACCCGGGCTGGCTGGGAGACGCCTGGACCTGGCCAGCGCGGCGGAGGGCATCGTGACTCCAGATCGTACCGCGGTCCCCAAAGAAGCACGTGACCCTCGTGTGGTCAAAAGGGAGAGGACAGTTCTACGGGGAGGAACTGGGTAGCGTTCTCAGTAAGAGACAGAGTGCCATAGTGTCAGTCCCTTTTCCCAAACTCTAATCTGGAAGGAAACAGCCCCACCCCTCCGCTCCCATCCCCAGAAGTCCCTCTAAAGCTCTTTTTTTTTCAGGAAGAGGACCCTGGGAATGTGGCTCCCGCCCCACTCCTAGAGTGAGGTCCTCGCAGCCCTGCCCTCGCCAGCGGAGCAGAGACGCCGCTGCCTGATCGGTTCACCTTTGTCACACAAAGCCGCTGGGGGTCGGCTGCGCCCCTAAGTCTGATAGGCGAGATCCCTGCTCTCAAGAACTTACGTGGGGGAGAAGGGGAGGCGAGACAAACAGGTAAACACACACACACGCTAAGCACGGTAATTTCAGACAATGATTTTTATGAAAACGTGAAACGGAGTAATGGGGTGGGGCTGCTTTCCCTGGGGCCTTCAGTGGGGTGGGCAGGGAGCAAGCCTTTCTTTCCCCAGGGCTCAACGTCAATCATCCTACTTGACGCTCTGGCCTTTGGCGAAGCTCTAAGGCTGGGGAAGATGCTCGGATTGTATTCAACAGGAGCCGTGGGAGCGCCAGCTAGGCCCTGGAGGAGGGAGTTGCGGCCGATGGTCTCGAGATGGGTCGCAGTCCGGCGGGGTTGCTCCCCCCAGCCCAGCCGGGGACGCCGGGCTCCGCGCCCGCCAGCGCTGCTCCTTCCCAGCCCGGAGACTCAGCGCGCGGCTGGGTCAGCCGGGGACTGTGGCGCAGAGCAGGGAGAATAATCAAGCAATTAGCAACGTGTTGTACCAAGGTAATTAACGGGGAAAAGTTTGCCCCAGGCAGCATTTGCGGTCTCTGAGTGGAACAATTTTAGGAACACCCGAGAAGGCACGAAAGGTCCCGGCGCCACGATCCGGTTGATCCGAGGCAGCCAAGAGCGCCAGATCTGCTATCGATTCAAAGACGCGCCGGCGGCTCACGCTTGTAATCCCAGCACTTTGGGAGGCCGAGGCGGGTGGATTACTTGAGGTCAGGAGTTCGAGACCAGCCTGACCAGCATGGCGAAACCTCGTCTTTACTAAAAATACATAATTATTTGTATTTTTATTATTTGCTGGGCGTGGTGGCCTACGCCTGTAATCCCGGCTACTTGGGAGGCTGAAGCAGGAGAATCGCTTGAATGCAGGAGACGGAGGTTGCAGTCAGCTGAGATTGTGCCATTGCACTCCAGCCTAGGTGACAGAGCAAGACTCTAACTCAAAAAAAAAAAAAAAAGACTGGGAGTGGGGAGGAGAGGGATAGACACAGAGAGACACAGAGACATGGCATGGGGAAGGACCAGGGACAAAGATGGAGGGGAAGAAAGGGAAGGTGAGAGAGAATGAATCTTTAGAAGAGTTTGCAGAGTCCAGTTGTATGGCCTTCACTTAACAACCCCAGGTCCTCAATTATACAAGACCTCTTGCCCACATCTTTCGGCCTAGCCCCAAGTGTCCCTTTGGCTGAAGCTGGGGCAGCTGTAGTCAATGGACAGAGAAAAGAAAAGGAGGCACAGGATGGGCTGAACTTGGAAGGTGACTGCTGGACGAGCCCAGGCAACTCTGGCCCTACCACTCTGAGCAGCATTGGCCCTTTTGCCTGTTCTGCAGCTGTGGGCAGGAATTCTCCAAGAGATCCCTTTCTGTGGGACCCACCAAATGTTCAGAGTGAGAGCCACTCCCAAGGATGGAGCTGGGGTTTCCAGCCCAGCTGAATAAGTTCTGCAGTTGAATACTACAGACTGAGGCAGAAGGAGCCAGCATTGACATGTAATCCATAGAGGGGGCCTTCAATGGGGAGAAACATCACAAAAGGGTTCCCCAACTCAGAGGGCCTTGCTTTGCTCCATCTCCAGTCTTCAGCACGGTAGTCAGATGTAAAACTCTGAGTCAACGTTTCTGGATCTGTGGCTGAAATAGTCTCTTTTTTTTTTTTTCTTTGAGATGGAGTTTCGCTCTTGTTACCCAGGCTGGAGTGCAATGGCGTGATCTCGGCTCACTGCAACCTCCATCTCCTGGGTTCAGGCAATTCTCCTGCCTCAGCCTCCTGAGTAGCTGGGATTACAGGCACGCGCCACCATGCCCAGCTAATTTTTTGTATTTTTAG